CCATCCACTCACCTCGGCCTCCCAAAGGTGCGGGATTACAGGCTGAGCCACCGAGCCCGGCTTGGGAAGCCGTCTTTTAAAGAATTCGCTTGATTAAAATCACGCCAGGGCCTCGCACCTCCTCAGCTCTACATTCACTCTAGCAGGGCTTTTGGTTTTCATGTCAGTTTCCTTTCCTAGACTCTCCATCCTGTCTCCCTCTCCTGTGCGTATCCCCTCGCCGGGGCAGGCACTCCAGCATCATCTTATTTCCCTCCTCCGTGCCCAGCAGCTCACACAGGGCAGTGCCTGCTGGACTTAAACCTTTCGGGTCGAGGACACGAGTTGTCATGCCTGACAGCATGTGTGGAAAGACACAGGCTGGGCCTCTGCCGCCCTCAATCCTAAGTCTGGCCAGACGCTTCCCTGCTCCCACCCTCGGCCCGCCCCTGACTGCCGCTCACTTTCTATCTCGGTCAGGCTCCGCTGGGCCTTCTGGGTGTCTTCCCGCTGCCTCCTGAGCTCGTCCAGCTCGGCCCGGAGGAACTCGCCATCGTCGGCTGCCTGCTGCCGCAGGTGCCGCTGCTCAGCCAGCTCGGCTTCCAGCTCGCTGATGCGGCCCTTCAGCTGCAGCACGGCCCGCTGGCCCTGTGGGGGGATTTGGGCCATGAGGCCAGTTGTCCATTGCCAAGGGTCAGGGACGCGGGCAGGAGGAGGTACTGCCGTGCTTCCAAGTAAACACCCAGTTCCCTTACTAAGCCAACTCCCAAGGTCTCGGGAGAGTTGGGCCTTCTGGTCATTAAGAGCCCCCTAGTCAACAGCAACAACGGGGACAATGGCATGGGACTTGTGGTCCTAGGGAGAGTGGCCAGGGCCAGCAGTGGGTGAGCTGGAAAGAGGGAGAAGAGGATACCGTGGCTGTTCCTGTAAGGGAAGTCAACAGACCAGCCATAGCTCTGAGGAGTGGTCACTGCTACAGCACCAGACACTGCACACTGCCATCAGAGTTACAAGCCAAAGTCTTCTTATGGTCTTGCTCACCACTGCCTCCTAGTCAGGTGCTAGCCAAGGCCATCTCAGGACATCACAGGGACACTGCACCTGGCTTACATGTGGTCCTCAAGGCATGTACAGTAGAAATGCATTACAGGGGAGGCCAATGGAAGACCGGATTCTTTTGGCTTTGGGATTTCTACTAACTAATCTGCCTTAGATGTGGTCCAGCAAGTATCTATGCGACACAAATTTAACATTCAAATCTGTCATTTTGGTGAAGCACAGAAGCAGATCAAATCCCCACGTTTACCTCCATCTTCACGTTTTCTAGTTGTGCTTTCAGCCCACTGATCTCTCTGTATAGTTGTTCAGTTAAGTGGTCCCTGGGAAGAGAAGGAGAACGAGTTTGTTTCCACTGTGCCTCCATTCTCTCCCTTGAAACGTGAGCTGGGAGCCCAGGGGAAGAAGTTAAAAGCTGGTGTTAGCCGGGCTCGGTGGCTCAGCCTGTAATCCCGCGCCTTTGGGAGGCTGAGGTGAGTGGATTGCCTGAGCCCGCAGGTTCGAGACCCGCCTGGGCAACTTGGCGAGACCTCATCTCTACAATAAATCAAAAATTAGCCGGGCATGGTAGCGCGCGCCTGTAGTTCCAGCTACTTGGAAGGCTGAGGCAGGAGGATCGCTGGAGCCCAACAGGTCAAGGCTGCGGTGGCCAGGAACGGCCACTGCACTTCAGTCTGGGCGACAGAGTGAGACTCCAACTCAAACAATAAAAAATTTTAAAAAGCTGGTGTTAGTCAGGCATGGTGGCTCATGCCTGTCATCCCAGCACTTTGGGAGTCCGAGGTAAGCCTAGGGGTTCAAGAATAGCCTGGGCAACTTGGTGAGACCTCGTCTCTACAATAAAGAAAAAAATTAGCTGAACATAGTGACATGCGCCTATAGTTCCAGCTAATTGGAAGGCTGAGGCGGAAGAATTGCCTGAGCCCATCAGGTAGCTGTGAGTGTGCCACTGCACTCCAGCTTGGGTGACACAGTGAAATTCTGACTCAGAAAAAAAAAAGCTGGTGTTAATTTGGGAACAATTCTTTGAAACTCCATAAATTATACTCTGAGTGTTATTATATACTAATCTAAGACCCACAGGCCCACAGTTATTGATTTTCCTCAGGGATTAAAGGTGTCGATATTTGAGGGTCAAGACATTCTTTATTTAAGAAGTCCGAGTATCCTTAAAATTTCCCTTTGGTTCGGTATCGCGAGGCAGCCCGTGGCTTAGCTTAGTTATCGCACCATCTGCTTGAACCCAACTTGGACTCACTTCTCATCCTTGTTCACACCGTTCTGACTGTTGAAATTGAAAGGATCACTGCTGAGTGAGCTGCCAAAGATGTCATCAAACTTGTTGTCAAATACATTCTGTGGTGACCAAAAGGGAGTGAGAACAAATCAGAAAGCCAGAGAATTTCACATGTGGGTTGAATAGGTGAACGGCAGAATGTCCCTTCATTTGGTTCAGATGCCATTTATGAACCACAGAGCAGGGTTCTCAGCCCAGGTTAGTACTTGGTTAAGACAAGGCTCTAACCTGGTTAGAGCCAACAAGCCTTGGGTGGGGTCTTTCCCAGCCTTGCCCCTGGGGGTGATGGGAAGGGCCCAGTTTCTTTCCCAAGTGGGCCCTACCTGCTGAGAGGCATCCATATCCATGAGGTCATCCTTCTCCAAGACAGGCTCGCTGTCAGGGGATGAGGCCTCTGCTGGGATGACCACCACCGGGCTGATATGTTCTGACAGAGCTGAGGCTCGCAGGAAGTTGGGTGGGTTCTGAAGACAGGAGACACACCCTCAAACAGTGCTCACCTGCCAGGCCCTGTCAGCCTCTGAGAGAGCGCGCTGGGACACTACAGTGCCCAGGTGTGCCCGGGCTTGCTTACCTCAGGCAGCTGGGGGATCTGAATGAGCCGCTTGAAGTACTGTAGGTTGCTGGAGCGGTAGAACAGATCTTTCAACCTAGGGATGGAAAGGGCTGAGGGGCGCTGGGTGTCTTCACCAGCCCCATGTAGGGTCAGAGCAGCCACCCAGCCTTTCTGCTCCCTCCCCAGCCCAAAGGCACAGGCTGTCAAGGAGATGAACTCCACGGCACTAGGACTCAATTGTGATGCTCCAGAGGTCAAGCAGTCCTCAGTTATCTGGTGGTGAGCGAACCGAGTTCATGCTACAAATCCTTTGGAAGGGCAGATAATCCACACACTACTTTTTTCATCACTGTGGAGTATATGTTGTTATTTTACAGATTTATCTTCCTGGGAATGTTTGGCTCAGAGTAACATTAAAATACATTTACTTTCTCTGAGGATAAACCAGCTAATCACAGGAAAAGAGAAGGGAATATAATGACTACGGTGGATCTCTTTTTAAATGACTCCCCTTGTTTTTAAGCTGTTATCCCCCCAGTTAGACTATAAGTTCCTGAGGAACAGGGACTGAACCCTGCTGAGCTACGCTTACCATAATACCAGGCACAGAAGAGCCACTCAATAAACACTTTCTGGAGAGGAACAATCTAGACAGTATCCTAATCTTGGAAGAGTATGGTTATAAAGAAATCAACATTGTTTTTTCATTTCCAAACCTCTACTTTGAATCAAAATACTGAAGACCAAGAAACCTGAGAACATCCAGACTTCTATCTTCTGAGACGAAAGAGCATTGTGGACATCCTGGCACCTTCTACCTACAGAATTTCCTCTAGCTCAGCCCAAGAAACGAGACTCCCGGGGTGGTCTCAGGACGGCCCGTCAGACTCCAAGAGTTAAGTCTGTCCCTGTGACATCATTGCTGCTTCCCCTGAATTCAAGGACTGCGGTCTCAAAGAGAAGCCACATTCTGTATGGAAGAGAAAGTGAGGCAGCTACTCACGGGAAACGTTTTCCTAGGCCAGAAAAAAATGAAAGAAAATAAAATCATCTGACCACACGTCCCTTGTCTTTCTGGGATGCAGCCAACAGTAATAGGCTGGACTGCTTTCACAAGCTACCGGAATTGAACATTCCAGGAAATCAGCCCCGGGGCCCGTCGCCTAGGATTTAATAAGTCATTTATCAGAGCATATGTACCAGGCTTTTCAAATGGAACAGGGGAAGCAGGAGGTTAGTACAACCCCGTACTTGTCCTTTGATTGCTCCTGGAGAACCAGCAAGAGAAGCCTAAACATGGGATGTAGGCGCTATGGTGAAGGATGAAGAAATTAACAAGAAAAACAAGAGCTAAGCCTGGACTCCCTTCTCAGCTCCCTTGGTCCCCCCCATCTCTCACCTCATTCCTTCCCTTTTCCTGGGCATGCTGACTTGAAGGATGACCGCTACTTCTCATCTACTCATTCATTTATTCCCCCAAATGCCCCAGAATAATATACCAGCCAGACAAGCTATTCTTCTCTTAGACAAGATAGCTGGCTTATTAGCATATTAATTCATTCAAATAATTTCTGAGCACTCTGTGCTTAACTGGCTGCTATTTGTCAGGTGCTAGAGATACAATAGCGGACAAGAGCTTTCAACAAAAATAAAGCTGTGCTAAGGACCATGAGGGAGTAAAACCCCTATGAAAAACCGGTATGGAGACTTCTCAAAGAACTAAAAATAGAACTTTATTCAATCTGGCAATCTCACTACTGGAAAGCTACTCAAAGGAAAAGAAATCATTATATTAAAAAGAAACCTGCACTCCTGTATTTATCATAGCACTATTCACAGTAGCAAAGGTATGAAATCAATCTGTGTCTATCAACAAATAACCGGATAAAGAAAGCGTGATATATACACACACACACCATGGAATACTATTCAGCTATAAAAAAAAGAATGAAATCATGTCTTTTGCAGCAACACAGATGGCACTGGAGGCCATTATCTTAAATGAAATAACTCAGAAACAGAAAGTCAAATACCACATATTCTCACAAATGGGAGCTAAATAATGTGTTCACATGGACATAGAGGGTGGAATAATAGATGCTGGACCCTTGGAAGAGAGGTTGGAAGGATATATAAAGGGTGTACTGTACAGTATTTGAGTGATGGTTACACTAAAAGCCAAGACTTCACTGTAACAAAACTGGACCTGTACTCCCCAAATCTATAAAAATAAGAACTAAAAAAAAAAGAACTACGAAGGAAACAAATAGGACGCTGTCATTGAGAACCTGGGAGTGGGGTTGGGTCAGAGGAGAAGAGAATGAAAGGTCATAAGGTGGAGTTAAATTGAGCAGCCATCTTAACATTGCTTGGCTTTGTCATGTCTTTCTAGCAGTTCCCTTTGATTTACCCTCTAATCACCTGTCAAGGACAGAACTCGTTTCTCGGAGGTAGCTATTGATCATTGTTTTACAACTCCCTCCCCAACTTGTCTTATAAACAAATGAGTCTAATCAGCCCTTCATGACAAAGACCCCATCACCGCGGCAGCAATGTGACTAACCCACCCATCTGCCCATGGTTCCGCACCTGTAGTCCGTGACCTGCATTTACCTGCCCCTTCATGATGACGTGAAGCAGACCACCACCCAATCACCTTAACAACCTGCCCCCATCAAAGGGAAGATTTAGAAGGCATTCAACTTCTAACAGCAGTTTTGTTTTTTATTTTGAGTTGGAGTCTCACTCTGTCGCCCAGACTGGAGTGCAGTGGCCGCTCCCGGCCACGGCAGCCTCGACTTGCTGGGCTCCGGCGATCCTTCCGCCTCAGCCTTCCGAGTAGCCGGAATTACCGGCGCGCGCTACTACACCCAGCTGAGTTTTTTATTTGATTGTAGAGATGAGGTCTCGCCTGCCCAGGCGGGTCTCGAACCCGCGGGCTCAGGCAATCCACTCACCTCAGCCTCCCAAAGGCGCGGGATTACAGGCTGAGCCACCGAGCCCATCTAACAGCAGTTGCCACTGTTTTGTTAAGCACTGGCCGCCATGTGTTCTTTGAGCTATGGCTGCCATGTTTCCTAGCTTTGGCCCCCTCCCCTACCTTGGAGAGGTGAATCTCCTCTCTCTAATTTATTTTCTAAATAAACTGTATTTTCTAATCTAACTTCTGTGCAATTCTTTGCATCTTTGGTGTGGCACCGGATCACAGACCAGACACCCCTCCACGGGCATGACCTAACATTTTGGAGGCATATGCTGAGATTTTTAACCTAACAGGGAAGAAAACCTGGCTTACACAAGGGGGCCACAGACTGCCTTTCTGAGGAGGTGACAAAACATGACCAGAGCTAGCCGGGCTGGAACCAGAGCACCCTCCGGACAAGGAAGAGAAGGTGCAGAGATCCTGGTGGAGAAATGTGCTGGGTAAGTTCCAGAAACAGAAAGATGACCCCAAGTAACTGTGCAACAGAGGTGAGGTCAGAAGTGGCAGGCAGGGGCCGGGCCATGCCGAGCCTAGCAGATCATGAGGAAAAGCTTAGATCTATGTGTAACCAGGAACCATGAAAAAGGTTTGAGAAAGGAATTTACATTCTTACATAGTTGTTCTATCTGCTGGGTGAGGAGTGCATTGTAGGGGGTGGGAGTGGAAGTTCAGGGAGGCTGGTCACTGCTGGAGGGTCTGGAGAGGCAGCAACGGTAGGTGAAGAGATGGAAATGTGGACGGAGTGAGACGCAGTTGCAGGGTACCAAGTGAACCTGCCAATGGATTGGACATGGGGCAAGAGGAAAGTGGTGAGTTCCAGATCTCTACCTACACGCATGGTGGCAGTATTTATTAAGATAGAAAAGGCTAAGCCAGGCTTGGTGGCTCAGCCTGTAATCCCGTGCCTTTGGGAGGCTGAGGTGAGTGGATTGCCTGATCCCGTGG